GAATATTAGTCAGCGGGACCTGTTGATTAACAAATATATTCGTTGTTGGGGGAGAATTAAGCAATTTATAAATTCCATTCTATCTGATCTTCTTAGCAAAAATTCCTTTTTTAACTATTAAATGAATAATTTTATAAACCCTTCATTACAATTGTTTTTCATTTTCCTTTAGGTCCTTTGTTGTTTTACTCTTTCTGTAATTCACAGAGTTTAACACTGCTAACAGACTGTTGATACTCTTGTCATTGTTCTGATTATTTGTCTCTATTGTTAGTCTTTGAGATCCCAAGAAAGTTAACTATGTTTTAGTGATATTTCGATCCTCATTACTTAGAACAATGCCTAATCTTAATAGGAATCCACATACATGGCTAGTCAAAAATGTTATTTAATATATCAAGATTAGTTGTAATAATTTGTGGGATAATGACTGTGCTTTTGTAAACTGTTGAAATCTGTGCAGTTCTTTATTTCAGGAGCTAGTGATGGCTCTTACAATTTTCTGCAGCATGATGTAAGCATAGTCTACCTTCTTTCATTTTGCAAAATTTAAGATCTGCTCAGTGAAATAATACCTCAGGCTGACAAAACATAAGATTAGCACAGGTGAGTTGATGTATGCACATGCAAAGACATAAAATATTTCCATTTTTACTAGAGGTTGGAAAGGCAGAATGGTTTGCTGTATAAAAAGTATGAATAAGAAAAAGAAAACTTTTACTGGCTCCTAGGGAAAAAACCAGACTCATAAATTTCATTAAATATTTGGTTTGCCAAAGTTCTGCTGTTGTCCTACATCAAATGGACGTGATGGGTCCCCTATCTAATTAAGTAACCATATGGAGAAAAGGCACATTTACATAAACAGAGCCAAGGAGCCAGCTCTGTTACGCTGTCTTTCAGCTTCTGTAACTTCCTTTGCCTGGGATGGCTTCCTGCTCTGACTGCATATTACCATGGGCAAAAATGCTCACAGGCCAGGAATGCAATTTAAAGGGCTTTTCTAAGGGCCTTATTTCATTTAAATATTGCAAAGATAGGGGCTTTGAGATTCCATAGTATCTCCTAAGCTTGGTGACTACTTGCCTTGGAAACCAATAGTTTTGGACTCTGGCCTGTCAGAAATCTATTGTGTTTTATCACACTCCTTTGTAGAATAGCCATGTGCCTGATATGAGGTATGAACCACCTGCTTACTGCCTGATTGTTGAATAAATGCTTCGCAGCACATCTTCTGAGTTCATTTTTATTGTTTTACTCATATTATTCATGTTGTTTCGTTGACAGGTTGTTTGAGATAGGGTCTTGCTGTGTGCTATATGCAGTTCAGGCTGGCCTTGAACCTATTTACATAGGCCAGGTGGACCTCAGATTCACAATGCTCCTGCCTCACTCTCGTGGGTAGCAAGGAGTAAGGAAATGTTATGAAGGACAGTAGCCACTAGGGGGGCTTTGAGATGACAGTAGTAATAGTAATCACAAATTGAGATACGAGTTGTTAGGATAGTAAGTTTGGCAAGTGAAATCATAGAGAACACGATTACAGTCTCTGCTGCTTTCTGATGCAGGTGGTGATATTGGCGGCACATGTCACATGACATTGAATCATTTACTGTATGTCTCACACATATTATAGCCTTAGAAAACACTAACAGATTCAAGGCATCCATTTTTATGGGTGAGAAAAATGGGACCTCTGAATCAGGCGCCCCACCCACTTATCCTATAGCCTGTGTATAGTAGTCTGGGGTTTTGCAAATGCCAATTTGAGAGGACTGTGGCTGGCAGTATGTCCAACTGTATTACTAATTCAACATGTCAAACAGCCAAAAATTGGCAGTTTTGTGTGGTTAAAACTAATAAAGGGACAGTGCTTTTTGTTTGCATTCTTTTTCTTATTGAGGTTCATTTTTTTTCTGTTATAGCTTATTGTGTTTTAATTGGACTTTTAGTAATTCAGTACTCTTGCATTTAAAAAAGTATTTCCAAATGATACATTGAAAAACTCTTACTTATTATTTTATTGTCTGGCAATGATTCTTCTTTGGATTGTTTGCTTGTTTGCTTGCCTTACTGGGGACTTCACCCAGGGCCCTGCACCGAACTGCATCCCCAGTCCTACCGTGCTTCTGACTTTCTTGAGGAACCCCACTAAAGTTGAATTTGGGTGGCTGAGAACTCATTCTTTTCTTGCAAACCCTTATTTTCTCAAGACCTTCTTTGGGTTGTGTCCATACATAGCCATCATGACCTACCTTCACCATCTATCTAGCTGACAGGATGACTCAGCGATCTTTGATCTTTGAGATAAACAGTATTGACAAGGAATATTTCCTGTCACAAATAACAGAAAATGTCACTATCACTGCCTTTAAGTAAGTAGAAACCTATTATCTGGGGTACATGTCTCAGAATATCATTTTACTGGGCCAGCCCCCAGACCTCAGCGAAATCCCATGACTCTCCCAGCCTTTTCTGTGGAGGTGACTGCAGAAGGCTGTTGGCTATCATTCGTCACCACCTGTGCCATACTGAGTCTTAGAGCTCTCTGGAAGTGATGATGAGTGAATTAAGATTGCAAGTAAATTTACCTTGAAGCAAAAAAGCATCGAAAGCAGTCCTGCATAAAATTTTGTGGGTAGATGACCACCCCCACGGATCTCTTCTAGTGAACAAATCTGTCAGCAACTTAGAGGGCCCTAAAAGAGTTCCCACTCCTAGTCAGATAACTTCTCATTTTCTTCGTTTCGTTTTTCCCGCCTTGAAGAATACCTTGAGAATATTTCAACGATTGCAGGTTTAAACTAATCATGAGGGTATTCACAGGGCCAGCTGGAGCAAAAGTCCAGGCTGTGGCATGAGTTAGGGTGTTGTCCCCAAGTAGAAGCCAGCTCAGGGCTTCTGCCTTAGCACACCAAGGAAGCCAGCTGCAGGGAAGGATCCTGCTGTTCACTGATTAGTGTCCCCCCTAGCAAGGACCTAGATTACAGGGAGTGGGTGCATAACAGGAGCCAGCATTAGATAAACAGCAAAACAAAAGCAGAAGACGACACTAGGTGGAACTCCATTCCCACTTAGCGCGTTAACGTCATAAAAAGACAAAAGTTGTAATACCTCTAACAAGTGTGTATCTGTAGTATCTTCCCTTGTCACTGCCCTGCTAATAAATTGTTTTCTTTTTGTTTCTTGTTTTCGTGGCTTCCAGGCTTTTTGTACACATGCATATTTTTGACATTACTTCAATAATAATTACAATAAAATTTTACATTCTACCTTTTATTTCTGTCCTTGGAACATTAAGATTGATTGATTCCTAAGGGGGCACTTGAGCAGGCAGGGCATTTACCCTGAGACTCCTCTATTCCACTCTCTTGCTGCTTTTGATGCAAGATGAACTTACTAGTTTATCTAAAGGGCATTTGTTACAGTGACAGGAGAGTAACCTAATTGCCTGTAGACCTCGCTGTGTTTTGTGAATCAGATACTTAAAACTTGATTAATTGTATAATCTACGACCTTTGTTTTTTGACATTTTATTTATCACGGATGCATGTGGTCTCGCTGTTTATTTATAGATTATGACTGCTTTTCCTTTCTCTATCCACTTACCGTAGTTACTGTGGGCACATTCATGTACTGCCACGAGCTAAGCAGAATTGCATCCATCAAAATGGGTGTCTGTGGTTCACACTGTCTGCTCTCTTAGGCTGGGAATCCTTTGTTTTTAATCAGGTGGTCCTTTCATACAACAGTGAATTACTTCGGCCAGTGCTCAAGCCCTTGGTGGGAGTGTGAGCATTTGATGCCTACATAAAATCTTTTAATACCTTTGTCATTTCCTCTACTGCATGGATTTGCAAAAGCCTGCAGGGACTTGGTATTTATTGAAGATGGAAATTGGCAGGAACAGTCAGTAATAAATTAATATAGGATATATTTTATGAAGTCCATTTGAAATATAATTTCATACTTTAAACCATACACACACGCATCTGAGATTCTATCCTGAAAATGCTGTTACTTCCTATGATATATACACATTTGTGTTTTCTGAGTGACTTTATTATAATTTCATGAAATAAACTGTACTTGCTTTTTAGAGTACTTGCTTCACAATTTTTTGATACTTGAATTGCTTATACAAGTTAGGTTTTCAATTGCAATGTATCAAGGCTTATGATATTTTAAATTCTGTTATATGCACCTGTTTTTGTCCTTTGCCTTAAATTGATGTATTTAATGAAAAAAATTGTTTAGAATAATCTACCTCATATTATGTTTAATTCATTGCGGTGGCAAATCTTGCTTGTGTGTTCTCAGTACTAAGGAGTTTTAATAACTCGGTGTCTTTTATTTGCTTCTTTATACGAAATACCTCTTGAAGTTTATTCTTCTCCCAATCTATTTCATTTGTAGAATATTTGAGAATTTGTCAGAAAGGTTCTTAGAATACAACATTAGCACTGCTATTAATGAATTACATTAATAGTAATGGTAAATAAGTAATAGGTTAAAAAGAAGACAGTTTGGAATTTGGGGACTGTCTTCTGGCTACCCTTCAAAATTTCTGCTATCATTTACACACATTTATGGCATGACAGAATCTGTCTCTTCATATTTTCAACTTTTGAGGCAATATGAGGTCCTCACTGAAAGCTCTGGGGTAATCACTAAGCAGAATGATTCTTGATATTCAACCTCAAGCCCCACAAATACCTACCTCAGTTCTTTCTGCAGACACTCAAGTTTGAGGGTCCTCCTATTCATTATTATCCTTTGTTCAACAAATAAAAGTGCATTCACCTGGAGATATCATATTCTGCCAGTTTAGGTGCTAAAAAACAGTTGCTCTGTGCACATCTCATGAGCGTGCTGTGTTAACATGATGAAGAGTTCTCAGCCCAGCTTTTCTAGGCCTGGTGTGGTTTCTGCATTGCTTTCTCATGGACAAGCTGTGAGTATGGACTGTATTCTCATGCCTTCCCCCTCTGGTTTTTCAGGAACTGACAGTGGCGAAGTTCTACCTGAATCCGTCCCCTCCGCTCCAGGGACACTGCCTCATTTCATAGAGGAGCCGGATGATGCTTATATCATCAAGAGCAATCCCATTGCACTCAGGTGTAAAGCACGGCCGGCCATGCAGATATTCTTCAAATGCAATGGCGAGTGGGTCCACCAAAACGAGCACGTCTCCGAGGAGAGCCTAGATGAGAGTTCAGGTAAGAGTGTGCTGCTTCCAGAGAAGCTGCATGGGCTCCCAGAGGCTCGCTGTGTTACAAGTCTGGAGAAGACTTGAGCCCACCTGTTAGGACCTCTTTTGAAGGAGGTTGTATTTATATTATTCCAGACATAAATGATTCAGTCTCATCTTAAAAGGACTCCCAGTCTCCCTGGCAGTATGGAAGACATTTTTCTTACTTCCTGTAACTTTCAGTATTTACCATTATGTGTGACTTGATATTCTCACTGGAGTGAGACCAGGCAGTTACTGTTTTCATTTTTGGAATTTTAAATATACTTGAGACAAATATTAAATCTTTCATCAAACACCCTTTTAAGCAGCATAATTTGAATTCCTTTAATCTTTACTCCTGGATCTTATTCTTATGTATTTTTTTCTTCACAGCTGGTGCATTCTGAGCCCTCTAGATTTTTTTTTTAAATGATTCTGTAGGGAAAGTTCTCTGATTAAATCACTGTATTCTGGCAGGATCTCCAATGTGAATGGATTTCAGGAGCATTTTTATAAGTTTGGGCGGCTTGGTTGATACTGAGAGATGATGAGAATTGTGATCGTACTACTGAATGTTTATCGAGCACTCACGGTATACAAGGGATCACACTGCAAGATTATTTGACTCAAAACCTTAAAAATGTGTAACTTTGCTTTTTATATTTTAGTGTGTCGTGGAGAGTTTGTGCTTTAGAATTTTAGTTCTTTAAATCTAATCTTACCCTAGACTGATTTTATTAGTTCTGATTTCATAGACTTGCTAAAGATTCGATACCGAGTGAGTCAGGAAGCCTCATATAATTAAGAAGTTTTAAGAGTTCAATCATGTATTAACAGCAAGCATAGTAATGATATTCAGTATACTATGTTAGACCTTTCTGAGTATTCAAAGCATACACCTGTCATTCATGTGGGTAGCTTCACATCCATGGAAAAGAATAAGAAAAATGCACCACAAGTACAGCATTAATGAAGTCAGAAAAAATTCCGGAAGAGAGGGATACAGGATTAGAAGAAAAGTTCACATCTACGTAGGACTTGTGTTGTAGGAGTGATGAAATTTGACAGAGGTGTTGATGAATATGGAATCCAAGTGCTTCACAAAAATGATTTTACCATCTCAGGAAGTGAGAGGAGTGCAGTTGTCTTAAAGTCATATATATTGGATAATGAAAGAAAGCTTAGTATATGCTAAGCATGAACATCGGTTTGGCTGAGATATAAAATTAATGTAAGAGAGCAGCAACTTAGAGAAAGAAAATATAGTTTAATCAGTGGCATGGAAGGCCTCAAATGCAAGAATAAGAACAGCTTCACTAGTGTGGCTATTTTGGTGGTGGAGACGTTACACTGATGTGTAAGTATCATGGCCTGAGCTGTGTCCCAGAGGTCAGGTCTGACATGAGTGACTGAGGTGGAATGGAGAGGCAAGAGCAGGAGACGAGACCTAGAGAACTTGGGTGAAAGAAAAGGAACCCTACTTCTGGAATAATGGTCACAGAAAATCTAGCTAGGATTCTGGTACAAGAGGCACTTTCAATAATATCAACACAGGGTTATTTAATATCATAGGATTGATTGAATGAATATGGAAAAATAAAACTAACCTCTTAGAAGTGTAATATAATTAGTATAATTACATTCACAAGGAAAATAAATCCGAGACTGTTTTGCCAGGCTGAGTCTAAATTGTTTATGAGATCTAATAAAAAGATACAGATCAGGATGCAGAATTCAGGATAGAAAAGTATATTTGGTGATCAGTACAAGATTAAGCAGCAAGGGCGGAGTGGTGGAGAGGGATGGAGCAGCAGAGACAGGAAGAGCATGCAGAGACAGACATACCTACCTCTTGAGGAGCAAGGAATCGTGCAGCTACACCTGATGAGAAACGAGTTGGCTGAGTTGCAAGGCAAAAGAGAAATTAGTTCAAAATGATCTCCATGTAACACTTCATCTGTACCTCAGAATCAATAAAGAAAATCATAGCGAACTAGGCATTCTATACAGGAAGAGTTATAATCCTTAAGTAGTTCTCAACTAAGTTGAGATTGCAGTACAAATTCAAAATTTTGAAGGTAAAAGCCCCAAATCCCTATCATAATTCCCTATTTACTCTAGGTTAGAATTGCAGTCATGTGAGGAAGAAAAATGTCTTGTCTTAGAAATGTTTTTCTTCAAACCACAGCCATACAATCATGGAATTCAATGTGAGAACTGAAATAGAAATTAGTGGCCATCTGCTAGGCCTATTGTGAACATTAAAAATCTTGAAATGAAGAGATTGCAACTAATTCAAAGTGTAGCTTTCTAGAGACCAGATATTTTCTCCTTGTGTTGACTTGAGGTACATTCTTCCACACTACAAGTCACTTTTCCCTAGTTATGCAAATGATTTGACATAATCAAGGGTAAATAAGAAGTGTAGATCTTGTTGTCAAGTTTCTAATTTTGTGCAGCCAAGTTTGGGATTTAGGAGAATCCTAGGCATATCATCTTGTTTGGGCAGAGGTTAATTAAGAGACAATAACAGTCTCACTTAGCATGAGGACTCTGAAAACAGGGACCAGCATCCTACCACACAAACAGTAACCTGCAAAACAATGTCAAAATATTAAAAAGTTGATACATCTTATACTCAAGTAGTCCAACTAGAAAGAATTCAAGTACCAGTAGCTCACTGGGGCTGTATGATTTATTCTCAGATGTCTCTGTCCTAGATTTTGCCTAGTCATGAACTCAAAATAGCAGAATCCCATTGGGTAAACTGTTCTAAATAAAAAGAAGAACTTTGAAAAATCATCAGCCATTCTTTATAATGCTGCTAGAAAATCTTATTATATCTGTTCTAATTTAAAGGCCCCTTGATAAGTATTACAATCCAATTTAACAGTATGCCCTCTTATAATTTCATAACGTTCCATTTTGTTATTACTTCTCCCTTTAAATTCCCCTAGCATTGCTAGGCAACTCTATGTCTTGCAGATAGCATTGCCGATGATACTCTTTACTTCCAAGTAAAAATCTCCCTTTCCCCACTTAAAAAAATAAAGTAAATAAAAGTTACATATTTCAAAAGAACGGGACAAAATTCATAAATGACAAAATCAGAGGACATTGTATACCAGGTTTTTAAAATGGTGTTAAAATTTTAAATTTTAGCAGTTACCTTTATGAAAAGAACTTAATAAGCATAACCTGTTCTTCCAAGTCATTTTGATCGAATCAATAAGAATGAAATGTCTCTCCCTAAACACTTTTCTGTAGTTAATGAAAATAGCTGTCTACCACACACTGTCATTATGTTTCCTAAGCTTGGTGTTAATAGTGGAAGAGTAGAAACAGGAGCAAGATGAGTGGAGATATTTTACTCCAAGCCAATACGTAAGTGCCATTAAGGTAGGAAACAAAATGGCCTCAGGTATTGAAAAATAGATGCATTACCTCCCTTGGGATCTCCAGTGCAGTACTGGAGAACAGTGCTTGACTATCTTTACAGACTTAATGGCTTTTGATTGGATCTGTAAAATAATTCCTGCTATTCCAGTAGACTTGAATGACATTATAGGACCAAGGACAGTGGGGCCACATTTGATAAGGGACAGACAGATAGACAGAAACAGATAGAAAGAGAGAATGAGAGTGAATGAATGAATTGCCCGTGTTCTTTAAGATCTATCAGTAGATTTTTTTTTTATCTTTAGGCAACATAGTCTCCAGTTTTGAAATATCAAATATCTTTGATGTACTTTTTACTTAAGGGTATGCTCTCTTTACCCATCTAACGGGAAATGCATGTGACCTGGGAGTGCTTGGAATGGCCACATAATCTTTTGTGTTTTCAAATTGGAAGCAATAAGTCCTTTCACTTGGTAAAGGTTGCAAACTGCCATTGGTCTTTCTGGTAATTCGGCCCCATCATCTAACAGTTCAAATAAGAAGAAAAAGGATTGTGTGTTTTCATGCAATTTAGCTTGGAAAACCCTGAGCTAGAGTTCTTTCCTGCAGAAGTACAATTTATTTGACATGAGTTACTGTGTTTGCACAGGCACAGCGATACCTCTTAGTAATGTACACTTTCAGTTCTCTTAGCAAGCTAAGGGATCTGCTTTCATTTGTTCTGCCTCATTTCATTTGGAAATATGGAAACCCTTCTTCCTCATGTTTTGCCTCTGTTAACATCTGCATATTTAGAATTGAGTGATAATCCCAATCCAGAAATCATGCCTCCATAAAAGGGTAGAATATTTAGTAACAGAAAATAAAGAACACTAACATGACACAGCACATACAGAGAAATATTTTTGCACAACCACCAATAACAAAATCAACCATCCCAACACATCTTGACAATTAAGATTACGTTGCCTATGGGAAACTGGTATTATCAATAAGCTAAACCACTTCTTTATTGTTCAATAAAACCAAGAGTTCCCTTAACAAAACTCCATGGCTCTTAATTCTACCTCAGAGATATGGAACTCTAATGAGTAAAGTAATGTGTATTCCAATGTCTATGGGAAAAGCCTCAACTCTAGTAAACTAATATTTTTCTCCTTAAATAATATCCTTTCAGGGACTTCATTGTGTATGATTTCCTGTTTTTAAACAACAGGGAGCTCCCTGGAGATAAAAGGTTAATGGATTACGAGAAAAAGGAGAAGAGTAGAAATCAAAATGTTGTAAATCTTTAAAGTTTATACCTCAGAACTTTGCAGCACTGGTGATGAGGATCCTCCAGAAAATCATTAATTTGAAGTTACCTTCAACAATTCACAAGCCACCAAGACACATCTGGGAAGCATATATTTCAGACTAGAGAATGTAGAAATAATCTCTCAAGAGTTCCATTGACAGTTGGTGGGCTTAAAAACTCACTTTTACAGAAATATCCTTCCTCCCCACTCTTGATTGCACTTAGCGCATCGCTTGGTTCCTCAGAGAAGACTGACAAGTTTTTAAAAGGTTAGTAGAAAAATACTTTGA